ATTATAAAGTTATAAGTTATAAAAATTAAAGTGGAAAAGGGAACGTTTAAACACAGACGTGAATGTTCGAACATTTTGTATCTAAACTTCCTCATATACCGCAAGTGTAGAAACACTTATTAAAATACCAAATGATCGATACCCTGTTTGGTAGATCAGAAAACGATGTGACGTTGGAAAACCAAAGATAAAACTATATATTTGTATACAACAAAATAGTTTACGTTAATATTTACAGCTTAATTTGTTACTTGTATTTTTTATTCAAACGAAAGTATTGCACTTCGCGTATGAAAGTCAACTATATTGAACATGGAACCATGAAAATTAAAAAAAATCTATGACCAGCTTTATGCTTTAAGATTAATTTTGGTTTGACGTTTCTGATTTTAGAATTTCAGTAAATTGCAGACACTATATGATCATTTTATTTGTAATCCGATTGTTCCTAACTGTGTCTCTCCCATGGAATACATTTGTTTTTCTTTAGATGACAGGTTGGAAGCATTACTGCTGCTTTATATTTATATTTGTTTATTGACTTTGTAATGTTTTAAAGACAATTGTTATTTTGGACTGGTTTTTTTCGTCTTTCTTTTTTCTCTTTGTGTTGCCCGTCCATTTAAGACTTGTTATATATGGTTTGCAGGTCTTGTGTTAGCGTGTTCGCCTTCGTGTTCGGACGTCGTGGGTTCGAAAACCGGTCGGGTGAAACCAAAGACTTTAAAATTAGTATTTGCTGTTTCTCCGTTAAGCATGCGGCATTAAGGAGTAAGAGCAAAGACTGGTTGTTTCGCAGTCAGAATAATGTGTCGGGGTAAGGTGACATGTCTTTCTGTGGACTTGTGCAACTAGGACGTTACTAATCCGACTCAGCGTGTCGGTCTAGTACAATGCAGGGTTGATAATCATATTACATCATCCTGTTCTTGTCAAGAATATGCATTTTAATGCCGCTGGACGTTAAACAGACATAAATCAACTTCATCATTTAACATATAAAGGTGTGGTATGATTGCCAATGAGACAACTTTCCACCAGTCGTGAGAGACTATTATGTTTGTTCTTGATTAATTTCAAAATTTAAAGCAGTCTGTAACACGTCTAACGAATAAACACTTATATTGCTCTAAAACCATAGCCATGCTTTTAGATGTTTCCACAATAATCAAGGTTGTAATGAAGAGGAACATAAAGAATGGTTCAACTGTATAAGTGGAAAACCAGATACCTTTATAGAAATTATTATACCCCATCTTTAAAAAAGTGGGGGTATACTGTTTTACCTCTGTCTGTCTGTCCGTCCGTCCGTCCGTCCGTCCGTCCGTCCGTCCGTCCCATGAATATTTTTCGTCGCATATTTCTCAGGAACTACATCATAAGGATATCTGAAATTTGGTTTCAGGGTTTACATAAGTCAGCTATACCATGTGATGCTTTTTCAGATTCATCACTCAACAACTTTCTGTTTACCGAACACTTAAATCATTTTACACATGACATCCAAGTTGAACATTTTCGTCACATTTTTCTCAGGAACTACATTACAAGGATTTCTGAAATTTTGTTTCAGGGTTTATATGAGTCAGCTATACCGTGTGATGCGTTTTCAGATTCATCACTCAACAACTTCCTGTTTACCGAACACTTACATCATTTTACAATAACTATTTAAATATTCCAAATGCATATATGGGAGTGGTATCATTAGTGAGCAGTAGCTCGCAGTTTCACTTGTTTCGGTCTCTTTCAATAAACATACTATAGTAATTAATGAAAGCCGCAGTGAACCCCCCGATTATTACAATTCCTTGTTTTAATCGTTTAACATTTTGTCATGTCGGGACTTTTATAGCTTACTATACGGTATGGTTTGTTCATTGTTGAAGGCCATACTGTGACCTATAGTTGCCTAGATCTTCGCCATTTGATCTCTGGTGGATAGTTGTCTCATTGGCAGCCATACCACATTTAGTTACATATATATAATAAACTGATCCCAAACAGGTTCAAAAACGGTTAAAAAATCATAGGGTTCGAACGAAAATTAATTGTGATAGGTTCGAAGCAGGTTTCATTTATACAGACCTTCTGAATGAAACCCATTGGAAAAAGGTGATGACGGTTGGAAGATAGGAGTAACATACCCTGAATGATTGATCGGTGTTTAACGTCCTACACATGAATATATAGAATTCAGTACTTGCGAATGGCGTGGAATACCGCCACCAGTCAGTCAGAGTGTGTTTCTCCCTTCTCATTCAAATTCTCTCTTTTCTACCATCTGTGCCTTTTTGTTGAGATACAATAAACAATCAAGAAGCTGAACTTAGATGACGATGTGCGTGTGGTCATGCATGTTTACTATTAAAACAATACGGAATCGTTCCGACCCTCCAATAAACTCACATGTTTAAAGATATTTTCATTTTGCTCCTGAGTAAGTAGACAACTACCCCAGGTTAATATTTAGTGAACAGTTATTTGGAAGCCAGCTAAGGTTTTCAGTTCGTTTCCGACTTATAAGTTTTAATGTCCCTTTGGTATCTTTCGCCTATCTTTTGAAAATAGGAAAGGATAACTGAATGAACTTTAAAATGTATGTGTTTAATTTCTTAAATCAATATGAATTTGTAAATTAATATCAAATATAAAATCTTTCAGATAGATTAGAGATCGATTTTTCAAACCTTGAGTAATTGAAAATAGAAAAACGTCGACAGACTAATGGTTTCAATGAAAAATTTATTATTTTAATCTTAATTGAATCAGTTTATACAATCTTCCTTGTTGTTATACCCTTTTTGTATTTAAAATGTAGCTTCCCTTTCCTTGTTTTAAGTGGTCACTTAAATGTAATGATCGTATTGTTTCAATGGAGTGATTTAGCAATATTTTTAAGAATTACTTTAGAAACAAAAAGACCAATAATACACCTTTTTTCATCAAAATTCAACTCACTTATACATAAAATTATCCAAATATTCAAACTGCCGGTTTGTAATACTTAAATGGGTATCAATTTGAATGGTAATATTACTGGTAATGACACTGGTAGTTTTATATTCTTTATAGAGTTTTAGAATCTTAGAAGAAAAGGTGACATCAAATGATTTGTACAATAGTATTAGGAATGGAAAAATCATAGATGCCAGAAAAGATAATAGCTTAAACAGACACGTCGACAATGCTTCTTTCAAATGATTTGTACAATAGTAGAAAAAGGAAAAACTAAATTGTCCAAAAAGATGATAGTTTTGTCCCGTTTTACCAAGGACGCTATTCATTCCTATAAATTCACAAGACAACGTTCCTGTAAATTGTTACAATAAAATAAATTGAAATAAACACTAAATTTTCATATGATGTTAAAATTTCCCTCCTAAAATAGAAAACGACGAGTACAACATGCTATAGGAACTTTGTGTAAAATTGGTTAAAAATGTTGCTATATGAATAGTTTCCAGGAGTACCAATTTCAATTTATTTTTCTACTGGCTGTATATACCAATCTGGAACATGCCAATTATCCTTTTATGTATGCAGAATCAATTGATATGCAGTGATCATAGATTAACACTTTTGAGATTAAGTTACTAAGCAAATTCCAACGAACCTTATCCCGATGTAAACATTGAATGCGAATACAGTACATCGAGGAGACCGCAATTACATGTACAATCATCGAAACGACCTTTTCTTTTATTATTGTGAAAAACTAATAAATGGATAACTATTCAGGAAAAGACAATATTGCTATATTGAAAATTCACTCGACAAGAGCAGACCAGAATACCCAAAACTTAGATGTGGAAAATTGTATATTGTGGGAAATTGTATTTTTAAAAAAATTTCATACGTCTGCAACGATAATCCGAATTTGACATTTTATCAAATTTCTCATTTTTGCCAAAATGTTTAAATAATAAAAAAGTGGAGTTCGATTTTAATCTAAAATTGTAAGAAATTCCCTTATTTTGTAAAAATCACATACAGAAAAGGAGTATTTGTGTGAAAAGAATGAATCTTGAAAGATAAAAATTTGAAATGATGGTTGTGGAGGTACTGAAAATAAAAAAAAAAAAGAAAATATGAGAAAATTAATTGTTACGAATCTTGTTTTCTTGCTACATCGCAAAATAAGTAAAGGAAGAGGTATAATAAGAGCTATTATATGGCGGTGTAAATTGCAAAAAAAAAAAGTTAACTTATTCAAGCCTTTCGAAAGTATACTAATGGTATTGATAAAGGAAAACACGTTTATATAATCTGATCAATTGTGACGTCATAGACTTGTAGAAATTTATGTATTTGATCTAAAATAGCCATTTCATGAACAGTTTTTTATTGAAATATATACGAGAAAAACTGCCACTTTTCGATTGCGCGTGCTTGTCTCTGTATTTATATAGTCATATTTCGAAAGACTTCTCGATGGATTACAGCAGTATTCCACTTCTATCCGCTACTTTCCGCTATATAAATGATATCCTCTCACTAGACGATTCAAAAGTTTGGTGACTATGCAGAATGCATCTATCCCATTGGACTTGAAATAAAGGAAACAACAGATATATGCAGATAAATCTGTCTCATACCTTGACTTGCATCAAGGATTTGACAATGAGGGTCGGTTGAGAACAAAGCTTTCCAAATGTGAACTTTCCATTTCAATGAAACAACATTCCAGCAGCGCCAATATATGGAGTACATATCTCCATGTTGTTACGATATATCAGAGCTTGCATTTCCTATTATGGATTTTCAAAACGTTAAGGACGCCGTCACGAGTGGGTTGACCAAAATAGATGACGACGGATATGTTCCAATTGTCTTAACCACAATCTCATACTTATTCTCTCGAATGTGACCTACCGAATTAGGCTTATCACCGGGTCTGTATCAACTTTGGGATTTAAAATCATCGATCACACAAGATGTAGTGTACTTATAGTGAAATGTTTGCTTCATCGGAAGACATGAAGACAAAACTCTGCAAATAATAACTTCCTTTCAATTTATTTACCTGAAATGTTTACAATCTCGAAATGACATCAATGAACGTCATCCATGCAGTCATAAGATAATAAGGCATATACTGACATAATAAACAATTATATTACCCTTTTGATGTTATATAAGGAAAGACATATGTGGCTAAATAATTGGCAACCATGTGAGACCCTATGTCTCTCTGAATAAATATTTTTTTCTAAATCACAAGGATTGCCATTCTGTAATTATCTACGTTCCTCTATATATAGCTACCGCCGACCGAAAAAACATCTACAAGTGTTGCCCCATCTTCTCGGGGTCCATCCATGAATACAGTTCATAGAAGAACACCCTTGTGGTGCTGGCGAAGTCGTTGTCGTCGTCGTCGGTACTGGTCGTTCTTCGTTTCCGGATAGAATATTTCTCAACTCTTCTCTTTCTTCGTCCGTCATTTCGCTCATGATAGTCTGGCGGAGGGCGCATCTATGAAAGTACACAAAAGGATGTTATTTTACTTATGATCGTAAGGTCCTAACGATCTTAATAGAAAATAATAAAATAGTCCTTTCAATAAAGAATGAAACGGAGACCTATATAGTTGCTAACACCCACGACATCTCCTTATTTTTTATATTATTATGGCATTTATAACCTTTAATCCCCTCCTTTTTTTAAAGCTAGTACGGATGACAAAAATTGTTGCAGATCGGGAAAAAAAATTAATTTCAGCTGCAGATTGTCCTTCTCCGTTCCGCTCAAAAGCACTACAGCTTACGAGATAATAGCAAAATAATAAAATTTTAAGGTTTATAACTCCAAATATATTGTCCAATTTTTCTAAAAAAAACTTTAAGGTCGATAGAATTTGACCTGTTGATTGTATTTTAACCCTGTCAGGTTTGCCTTAACTGCTTTAGTTAACACTAATGCTAAAAATTAAAAAGACGAAATGAAATGATACTTTGGCGAATGATATCATTGGGGTCAAAAAACTGTAAAAACTATATGCCAAACTACCAATAATATTCGGGTTGAACAAGGAAGACGTTTTATTTTGATGTATATATAGAATAGAGAATTGAAACGGGGAATGTGTAAAAGAGACAACAATCCGACCAAAGAGCAGAAGCGGGCTTCAGCTGGCCCCTAATTATGTATACTAGTTATGCGAAATGGACGCCACACTTAACTCTGAGACATACAAATGAACCAAAAGTTTAAAAAAACACACAATATTAACAAAGGCTAGAGGTTTCTGACTTGGGACAGGCGCAGGGGTTAAACATGTTTTATGAGATCTCAACCCTCCCCCTATACATCTAGTCAATGTGTCATAAACAAACACACAGCAAAACTCGCAGTAAAACTCAGTTTAAAAGAAGTCCGAGTCTGATGTTAGAATAGGTAACAGAAGAAACTAAGCAAAATGACAATAATAAACATAAATTAACAAAGGACTACTAGCAGTTACTGACATGCCAGCTCCAGACTTCAATTAAACAGATTGAAACATTATGTCTTCATCATATGAAAACCAACCACAATCCCCCCTTGTAGTATCATGCCATCATAAATTATACGAGAAGAATATAGCCCGTATCATGCCAAGAAATGGTTTTAGAATAAATGTGTTTATTTCCGATTCAAAGACTCTTTAATAACTTGACAACAGTATCGTAACTATATCCCTTGAACATAAGTCTGCTTAAAGGTTTGGTTGGCTTTAGAGGGGAATGACGACGTTGTTGTGCTTTGTATAGAATATTACCATAAAACACGGGATGTGAAATACCTGAACGTATAGGATGTCTGCATGTTGATTTATATTTACGAATGATGTCCTTGTAGCGATGATAAAATTCAGTAAAAGTTTGACAAGTTTGTGATATCGAAAACCCTGATGATATAATTTTTCAGTAATACAGAGATTCCTTTCGTTTAAATCAAATACGTTGTTACATACACGAGCGAATCGAACAAGTTGAAATTAACACTATACGATGATGCCAAGGGAACGTCACCATCTAAAACGTTGTTACATACACGAGCGAATCGAACAAGTTGAAATCAACACTATACGATGATGCCAAGGGAACGTCACCATCTAAAACGGATAATTATTACTAGGAAATGAAAAATCATCACGTCTATCGTAATTTTTAGTATTAAGCTTCCCGTTAGAGATATAGACATCAAGATCCAGGAATTGGCAATGTTCATCGTCAGTATTAGCTTTATTTAAAGTAAGTTCAACTGGATAAAATTCTTTAGTGTATACATACTAAAGTCGTCATTGTTGAGAGCCAAAATATAATCCAAATATAAAAAAAGTGTTATTAAATTTGAATCAGATGTTGTTTCGATGGGTCTTTGTTGATTTAAGAGATAAATTTTGCTCATTGTTGAAGGCCGTACGGTGACCTATAGTTGTAAACTTCTAGGTCATTTGGTCTCTGGTGGAGAGTTGTCTAATTGGTAATTATTCTATATCTTTTTATTTTTGTATTACATTTATCGGTGTTCCCACTGTCTGTATGATCACTCTGCTCAACTCTTCATAAAATTGCATAGCATGTCTTTGTGACGTCAAATACGTTAACCTAGCATATATATAACTTTGACCCGGACATATCACCAACGTCATAATGAATGAACCGACGTTGATAATTTTGACCCCAACTAATCAGTCATCTTTCGGTGTTTCTAGATTCTCTAATGCACACTATACACATACAATCCGATAAATCGATTATCAGATTTTCATCATATTTAAATTGTAAAATATCAGCTGCTCGGCACAATATGAAGACTTGTTTAACTTGTTCGCTGCCCTCACTCGACAAAAAGCTTCATATTGTGACTCGCAGCTGACATTTTACATAATTATATATGACTATAAATTTTCTGTTTTCTCATTGGCTAAAAGCATAAGAAATCCTCTTTGATAAAACATTATATTCACCGCGGTAATAATCACGAGAGGTTAATATAAGATTTGGAACAGCGTCCGTGTACCTAAATACAGATATTCCAATGCAACGTCAATGACGTAGGTTTATGACGACAAGTAAATTCCCGCTTTTTTTTCTTTTTCTTCTTGTTTTCGGTGTATTTTTTCTCTTCTTCTTGTTTTTGGTGTATTTTTTTTAGGAAACTTTATTGAATATTTCAACTTATGAAAATTAGCAACTGCAAAAGCAGATGATATATTTAGCATAAAAACAGGGAGCAATTTTAAAAGTATCTTGAGCAAATACTAGAAAATTGGAGAAGGATAAAAAGTCATTTAATAAAACAATTGTTGACTTTTGATTTCAGTTAATACAATGATTTATCAACGCCAGAGATATGACATTCGCCGTCGGCCGTTGGCCTCGGTGAATATCATATCTCTGGGGTTGATAAATCATTGTATCAACCTCATCAAAAATCAATAATTGTATAATATCAATATGCAGACAACCTGATAATCGGTACTTATCAGCCAGGACAAAAACGAATTCCTCGCCGAGTTCGTTTAGCTTATATTTGATACGAGAAAAAGGGCTATTATGGTTGTTGCTTGCATTAAAATATTCATTGCAGGAATAACCTTTGACAAACTTGGTGTACGTTTAAAAAAAATTGTCATCAAATTAAGGCAAATCATTTTCAGCCATTAAAAATAACATCAACATGGCCATTCCCGACTTTAATGTACATGTCCATGTTTAACTTGTTTAATCCTCCATTTAGCATGCATCGAAGTGATATAGTCTATAATTAACAATAATTATAGATTCTGGATTACCATCCATGATATCAATACTAGATTTCATTTTTATCTTTGTCCTCATAATGGAACCGTACAATTCCATTATCCAATTATTCATTCATTCTTTAGTCAATGGTCAACTGATGGTCAAGAAACGATAATGGCTTTGTCATCTGTCTGCATTCATGGTCATTTATGTATAATTATCACTTGTCCCTTGTTACTATTTATTGTGTATTTCATGAAAGTCGGTGGGAAATTGTTAGATTTCCGGAAGGACAGACATGTCAATAGTTAATATGAAAATCCGGGGAAACGGCAATGAATTATTTCAAAGGCATTTAAGATTTGAAATGTACGATTATAAATCGATGTTGTATTGTGTTATAGTGTGAAAAGGTACACAGCACTCTGGGACAGTATCTCCGATATAACATTTACTGAAATTATAGAAATTAGGTAACAAATTAGTTTCCTGCAGATAATTTTAGCTTGCCGTTTCAGTCTGTTATCGTATTCTTTACAACACTATTAATCCAGCTACACTAGCTGTAGCTCGTGTTTTCCTTGTCCTTTGTACTACAACGCAGGCTTTATAGTTATTTACTTATCTTTTACAGTGCTCTGATCGATAAGTATATGTTAGCATATACAACCTAACGAACTTTTTACCTATTTCTGAATAAAAATTTAATTCCGACCCCTTTTCCCCGAATGTGACCTACCGAATTAAACTTATCACCGGGTTTGTACATACATGAGCAACACGACGGATGCCACATGTGGAGCAGGATCTGCTTACCCTTCCAGAGCACCTGAGATCACCCCGGTTTTTGGTGGGGTTCGTGTTGCTCAGTCTTTAGTTTTCTATGTTGTGTTTTGTATATTGTTGTTTGTCTTTTTCCTTTTTTAGCCATGCCGTTTTCAGTTTATTTTCGACTTGTGAGTTTGAATGTCTCTTTGATATCTTCCGCCCCTCTTTAAATTGGTAGTCGTTGTACTATATCTGATTATGAGTTGTAATCTATCTTTAAGCTACAACTTACTCGCAGGTCGACTCATCAAAGCGAGCAAATCCAGTACATGGCTTTGTCTGTACACATTCACATTTGCAGTTGTTTTCCCGCCAAATATGTTTAGATGATGCACATGTTACACGATTTTTACAACGACATCTGCAGTCCCTTTCTAAATAGTCGTGGATATTTGGGTTGCAGTGATGGGCCTTCACACGACATCGTTGGTCACACTTTGTATGTCTCTCTACAGTGACTTCCTTCATTCCACCATACTGAAACTCGGGTGAACCCTGGTACGGCATGATGTTTTTGATGACCTGTAAATATTCAGTTCAAATATTTTAGAGTAACCAGTCCGTTTTCTTTACATCATTTATGAGACGTAATCGGTAACTATAAGGAATTTACAATCTGAATTTCATGCAACGTTCTTCTTCCAGTATGCTATTGAAAAAGTTAGTTTGTTTTGAATATAGTTGAAAACAAATGTTTGTCCCGATGGAAAGTCCCCCTCCCCCCCCCCCCCCCCCAAAAAAAAAGAACAGAAGAACAAATTAGTGGTATGTGCCCAGCACGGATACTAAGACACAACACTGATATGAAAGTCATTTTTCGGTTTGAATTTTTTCTTCTATTTTCTTCTGCTTATTAATACATTTTAGAAAAAGTCAATTAATGTAGTTAAAGATTGTGATTAACTCATATAGTAGGAATTTGAACATGTTTTTTTATTAAATTTTAATTCAAATTGTAATAAAATGCGCTGCGCGCAGCTTGATACGACCGCAGAGGTCGAACCCTGAACAGTTGGGGCAAGTATGGACACAACATTCAAGCTTGATACAGCACTGAATTTGGATTGTGATTAAATATTTGACACAGCGTAGGTTTCTGACACAGAATGAATGTGGTCTAAGAAATTAAAAAAATTTAATTTACCTATTCAAACCATATCATTATTATTTGCTTTTATATATAAATCAGAAATAACAAATTTAAAATGGAAAATTTTAAAGAAAAAAAAAGGAAACAAAAAAACCCTCCCCTAAATTTTTTGAACCCCCTTATGATTCATCACCCCCAAACTCAATCCCAACCTTCCCTTTTAGGTATGGTACCTTGCAGTACAATTTCAGAGAGATCCTTACACTTGAACACAAGTTATTGTCTGGAAACTAGAAAAATGCTTGTTTTAGGCCCCTTTTTGGCCCCTTATTCCTAAACATTTAGGGCAATTACCCCCAAACTCAAACCCAGCTTTCCCTTCGTGATATGGAACCTTGTAGTACAATTTCATAAAGATCCATACACTAACACACAGGTTATTGTCCTGAAACTAGAAAAATGCTTGATTTTTGCCCCTTTTTGGCCCCTAATTCCTAAAATTTTGAGGCAATTACCCCCCAAAATCAAGCCCAGCCTTCCCTTTGTGGTATGGTACCTTGCAGTACAATTTCAGAGAGATCCATACACTTGAACACAAGTTATTGTCTGGAAACTAGAAAAATGCTTATTTTTGGCCCCTTTTTGGTCCCTTATTCCTAAACGTTTTGGGCAATTACCCCCAAACTCAATTCCAGCTTTTCCTTTGTGATATGGAACCTTGTAGTACAATTTCAGAAAGATCCATACACTAACACACAAGTTCTTGTCATGAAACTAGAAAAATGCTTGTTTTTTGCCCCTTTTTTTGCCCCTAATTCCTAAATTTTTGAGGCAATTACCCCCAAAATCAATCCTAGCATTCCCTTTGTAATATGGAACCTTGTGGTACAATGTCAGAGAGATCCATACACTAACACACAAGTTATGTCTGGAAGTTACAAAAATGCTTATTTTTGGCCCCTTTTTGGCCCCTAATTCCTTAACTGTTGGTACCATAACCCCTAAAATCAATCCCAATCTTCCTGTTGTGGTATTGAACCTTATGGTAAAATTTCAAAGAGATCCATTCACTTAAACTAAAGTTAGAGTGCGAAAACCAATGTGTCTTCGGACGACGACGACGACGACGACGCCGGACGACGACGCCAACGTCATACCAATATACGACCGCAAAATATTTTTGCGGTCGTATAAAAAGGATAATCGAGGTTCTTAATTATTTTGTTACTGGAAATATTCCATTGGCATTTAATGACATTCCGCTGTCCTATCCAATATAGATATATACCCTGAAAGTAACCAATTCTGTTTGTACTGGCTCACAGACCAACACGTCCGAGGGACAACATCCTGAACATCTCTCAATACGTGTACATGGAGGCCATAACAAAACATTTGAGTCCATGTCTTTCGGTAACATAACTGTCACAAAGCGTGGTTCACAGCGATCATAAGATGCCAACCGAGCAGTTCCGACTGTAATATAAAACATTTTGGCTTATTTATTGATTTTTGTGGTTTTCTTTGTGCCACGAAGAGTTTTCAAATGAACTTGTCATTTATAATATTTTACCATAATATAAAAAATCTACGACTCAGAAATTGATTATTGTGTTACTTTTTAGACAATGTCATTTACACATATCACTGAATCTAAAAACTATTTTTTTTTTTTGTTTAACGGACTCAAACTGTCAAGTTAACAATTCATCAAATAATTATTTAACGTGTCAGAACATATAATTGTATAACTATTGACTAATGTTAAAGTATTACCTCCACTTATATGCATAGCATCCGTGTTGCCATCTTCATGCACCAAGTCTGAAACAAAAACATAATATGGTCACGAGTTTGAAAATTTCAATATATGTATTCAAAAATACTTCATAATGGTATCACATAAAAACTAGAGGCTCACCTGCATCTTCAACAATGGCCATTTTTTAAAGTAAAAATCAGCATAAAAGGTGATCAACAGTAATGTTTGGCACTTTTGTAGATCCTATCCTGCTGATCATTTTTCCCTTTCAAAGTTTCTATTTACCTATTATAGTTTTCAAGATAATAGGCAAAATATGCAAAAAAATGTAAAAGATTATCATTAAAGGGCAATTACTCCAAAACGAGTCTACTGAAGATTTCGGCCATTTTGGCTCATTTATAGATCATTTGTTCTATTTTAAGTTTCTATCTACCTATTGCAGTTTTCAATACAATAGGAAATAATGGGGAAATCGTCATTGAAGGGCAATAACTTCAATAAGGTGTCAACTAACGATTTTGGTCATGTTGACTTATTTGTAGATCTTGTCTTGTTGATCATTTTTGCCTAGAATTGTTTCTATCTATCTATTATAGTTTTTAAGATATGAGGCAAAAACGCAAAAAAATGTTAATAATCGTCATTAAAGGGCAATAACTCTAATAAGGAGTGGTCTGACGATTTTGGTCATGTTTGACTTATTTGTAGATTTTGTCTTACTGGTCACTTTTTGCTTTTAAAGTTTCTTTCTATCTATAATAATTTTCGAGATAATAGGGAAAACAAATTAAAATGGTAAAATTCGACATTTAAGGGCAATAACTCCTATCAGAAGTCGTCTGACACTTTTAACGCAAATAGACAATAGGTAGAGCTCAACATTTTGAACATGTTTTGCTCCTGTCAGAATTTCTATATTTATAGCGGTTTTCAAAATAATAGGCAAAACTTGCATTTTACAACCCTATGTTCTATTTTTAGCTATGTCGGCCATCTTGGTTGGCAAGCGGGGTGATTGTACACATTTTTTAAAACTGTATACCCCAATGATGATTGTGACGAAGTTTGGTTAAATTTGGCCCAGTAGTTTCAGAGTAGAAGATTTTTGTAAAAGTTAACAGACGACGACGGACGACGACGGACGTCGACGAAATACGGACGCTAAGAAATGAGAAAAGCTCACTTGGCCTTTTAGGCCAGGTGAGCTAAAACAGAAACCGTCATGCATGCCAGAATCAAGCTTTCATGTCTTGATGGGGTTTTTTTTAGGAAAATACTGATTTGCAGTTGTGTTTTGGCTAAAATGTGCTTGTTTAAGTTTGTTTCGCCACTTTAATAAATTTCGGTTCTTTTATCTTGTGTATCTATTTATAGATAATAAATGTGAATGTATAAAGCTAGAAATCATTAACGTTAAGGCCTGCAATTTACCGGAAACGTTGAGACGTGATCCATCTGGCATTCGTACAAAGTTGTGCAGGAAGTCGGGAGTACTCATAGAAGATCGGAGAATGTCCGGAGATATTGCCTGTAAAATGTAAAGCATAGTATTAATAAAAAGAGAGATATAAAACACTTCCACTGAAATAACGTTTCCATATAAAAATAAGGAGATTTGGTATGATTGCCAACGAGACAACTATCCACCAAAGTTCATATGAAGTATGAATTGGATGTACGCCATTATAGGCAACCGTACGGTCTTCAACAATGAGAAAAACCCATACCGTATAGTTGGTTATAAAAGGCCCCGACATGAAAAATATGAAACAATTCAATAGATTATTTATAACAAAATAATTGACGAAAAAACAAATATGACAGACATGAAACAACGACCGCCACCGAACTTCAGGCTCCTGACTTGGGACAGGCACATAAAGAAAGTGGCGGGGTTAAACATGTTTGTGAGCTCTCAACCCTCAATTGCTATGCAATTTTACGAAGAGCTATTAGATACAGACAAAGGGTAAAATCATAATAATTTCCATGAATGTTTCCCAAAACAAACTTGGTGGTTTACTTTACTTTATAATACAGTACTTGTGTTCAAACTTTACTCTTTAATACAGTACTTGTGTTCATACTTTACTCTTTAATACAGTACTTGTTGTTCATACCTTACTCTTTAATACAGTACTTGTGTTCAGTATTATCTTTAATACAGTACTTGTGTTCGGTATTATCTTTAATACAGTACTTGTGTTCGGTATTATCTTAAATACAGTACTTGTGTTCGGTATTATCTTTATTACAGTACTTGTGTTCGGTATTATCTTTTAATACAGTACTTGTGTTCGGTATTATCTTTAATACAGTACTTGTGTTCGGTATTATCTGTAATACAGTACTTGTGTTCAGTATTATCTGTAATACAGTACTTGTGTTCGGTATTATCTGTAATACAGTACTTGTGTTCGGTATTATCTGTAATACAGTACTTGTGTTCGGTATTATCTGTAATACAGTACTTGTGTTCGGTATTATCTGTAATACAGTACTTGTGTTCGGTATTATCTTTAATACAGTACTTGTGTTCAGTATTATCTTAAATACAGTACTTGTGTTCAGTATTATCTTTAATACAGTACTTGTGTTCAGTATTATCTTTAATACAGTACTTCTGTTCATACTTTACTCTTTAATACAGTACTTGTGTTCATACTTTACTCTTTAATACAGTACATGTGTTCAGTATTATCTTTAATACAGTACTTGTGTTCAGTTTTATCTTTAATACAGTACTTGTGTTCGGTATTATCTTTATTACAGTACTTTTGTTCGGTATTATCTTTAATACAGTACTTGTGTTCAGTATTATCTTTAATACAGTACTTGTGTTCATACTTTACTCTTTAATACAGTACTTGTGTTCAGTATTATCTTAAATACAGTACTTGTGTTCAGTATTATCTTTAATACAGTACTTGTGTTCATACTTTACTCTTTAATACAGTACTTGTGTTCAGTATTATCTTTAATACAGTACTTGTGTTCGGTATTATCTTAAATACAGTACTTGTGTTCAGTATTATCTTAAATACAGTACTTGTGTTCGGTATTATCTTAAATACAGTACTTGTGTTCGGTATTATCTTTAATACAGTACTTGTGTTCGGTATTATCTTTAGTACAGTACTTGTGTTCAGTATTAACCTTAATACAGTACTTGTGTTCAGTATTATCTTTAATACAGTACTTATGTTCAGTATTATCTTTAATACAGTACTTGTGTTCAGTATTATCTTTAATACAGTACTTGTGTTCAGTATTATCTTTGATACAGTACTTGTGTTCAGTATTATCTCTGATACAGTACTTGTGTTCAGTATTATCTTATCTTTAATACAGTACTTGTGTTCGGTATTATCTTTAATACAGTACTTGTGTTCAGTATTATCTTTAATACAGTACTTGTGTTCAGTTTTATCTTTAATACGGTACTTGTGTTCAGTATTATCTTTAATACAGTACTTGTGTTCAGTATTATCTTTAATACAGTACTTTTGTTCAGTATTGTCTTTAATACAGTACTTGTGTTCAGTATTGTCTTAAATACAGTACTTGTGTTCAGTATTATCTTAAATACAGTACTTGTGTTCAGTATTATCTTTAATACAGTACTTGTGTTCAGTATTATCTTGAATACAGTACTTGTGTTCATACTTTACTCTTTAATACAGTACTTGTGTTCAGTATTATCTTAAATACAGTACTTGTGTTCGGTATTATCTTTAATACAGTACTTGTGTTCGGTATTATCTTAAATACAGTACTTGTGTTCGGTATTATCTGTAATACAGTACTTGTGTTCGGTATTATCTTTAATACAGTACTTGTGTTCGGTATTATCTTTAATACAGTACTTGTGTTCGGTATTATCTTTAATACAGTACTTGTGTTCAGTATTATCTTTAATACAGTACTTGTGTTCAGTATTGTCTTTAATACAGTACTTGTGTTCAGTATTATCTTTAATACAGTACTTGTGTTCAGTATTATCTTTAATACAGTACTTGTGTTCAGTATTATTTTGTTAAAAAAAACCAGATATGAGTGAAATTTTAGAAGCTTTTTTATAACACTAAACAAAAATGGGATTTTCCAAATCACATGTCTATCTTTTATACAATGTGATCATTTTTAAAGTGTGCTACACGCGTCATTGGAAATTTATTGATACTGTAAAATATCAGCTTTTCGTCGAGTGAGCGAAGCGAACAAGTTCAAAAAGGCTTCATATTTTGTCGAGTAGCGGATAATAACAAATATGCTAAAAATCTGATAATCGATTTATCGGATTGTATTTGTGTTTTCATGATAGAAACATTTTCTTGGTTTCACCAGCAAACCGACAAAGGACATGAAAAGTTCGGGCTAATCTTATCAACGTCAGTTCAAACCATATGACGCCGGTGATAATTCGGTGACCATTGTGTTATTACGGCCGAGTCAATGTTTTTGACGTTCATGCCGTGCTCGCAATTTTAAGAAGAGAAAGTAGATACAAACAGAGGATAAAATCATAATAATTTTTATAACGTAATTTCGAAACCAAATTTATCAAATATGTTCGCGACATTTTTCACAGGAACTAAAGAACATCATTAATTCATATTTACAGTAATGATTTGTAACGTATGAGCACTTTTAAGTTGTGCCAAACAACCTTTTCCTACCATTACTTTGATTTTGTCAATATTCTTAATGAAAATAATCATTTTCATCACACTTTTCTCCAGAACCACTGAAGAGAAAAACATCATATTTGGTCGGCAGCTTAATAGTAGTGAGTTGTAAAATGTAAGCACTTTTCGTATCTGTTAAGACACCTCCTTCTTGTTTTTCGATACTAGTACTTAAAATTATGAGTAGACGATAACTTTTGCATTTTTTGTAAGCATAATTCAAAAACTAGAATATATCATTACAAACCATAAAAAATTTAATAGCAGTTTTTCCATATAAATAACATGATTTGATACAAAAATATCTTTCGAAAGAGAAACATTGTTTTACGTACCTCTTCATGGTATATAACACTCCTGGTCAGAACTGGGAACAAACTCGATTTAACTTTGAATTATTATGTTATGTGTGATGAATAATTTTATTACTTTTATAGTAATAAGAAAAAAGAAATACAATATCAATGACGAGGAGAAGGCAATAACAAGTTACCAAGGGCGACGGCGAGGGCAATAACAAGTTACCAACGGCGACGGCGAGGGCAATAAGAAGATACCAAAGGCGAGGGTGAGGGCAATAACAAGTTACCAGGGGCGACGGCGAGGGCGATAACAAGTTACCAATAGCGACGGCGAGGGCAATAAGAAGATACCAAAGGCGAGGGTTAGGGCAATAACAAGTTACCAAGGGCGACGGTGAGGGCAATAAGAAGATACCAAAGGCGAGGGCAATAAGAAGATACTAAAGGCGAGGGTGAGGGCATTAAGAAGTTACCAAGTCCGACGGCTATGAAATTACGAATCCGGAGTCGAAGAAAGAAGACACGCCACAACCAACAAATCTTAGCCGAAAAGACAAACCACAGACTACAAACTTAATAGAAAACAATAGATTGAACAACACGAAACCAGCGCAAAAAACCGCGGGTAGGCGAGAAAGCATGTAAATTTTTATTCAAGCTTGGTGATAAACGCAATTGATCCAATTTTTACTAACCAGGAGGTTTTTAACATTAGAAGACATTATAGTCCCTTGGGAAAAAGTCGACGCAAAATAAAAAAATAAAAGTCTGATATCAATATAAAAAGGTGATGTGGAATGATTGCCAATGAGACACCTATACATTAGAGGTCAAACGACGAGGGTGAAAACAACTATTGGTCATCGAACGGCCTTCAACAATGAGCAAAACCCAAAACCGTATACATGAACTAAGTTATAAAAGACCCCACCATGACATTAACTGATTGTTGGTTGCTTAACGTCCCCCATTCATGACAAGATGTGAAATAATTTAATAGAGTAAAACAACAGTCGGCTTTGTTTATGCTATAAACAATTAACGAAAAACAAATATGGCAGACAGCAACCAACTACAACCACTGAATTACAGGCTTATGATTTGGGACCGTCACATAAAGAATAAGAACCTCAATCCTCACATAACCTGTGACAGTGTTGAAACAGCACAAAAAGGACAAATTGTGAAAATCAGTTGTAAAGGGATTGACTAATCAGATCGACACGAAATACACAAAAATCATTAAATAAAGACACAAAAACATAAGACACCGATCTGAGAGTAACTCCAGTAAGTGACAGCTAGATCAAAGCGAATTTCAACTAATAAATAAATCATCTTTTCACAGACTAAACCATCAAGTACTACACATGTTTCTCTCTATTCTGAAATACGTATAGTATGGGAATTTTTTTTTCAAACTTTTTAAAGTGACAAATGGAAGGAGGTTGCATTTATGATGTCCAGTAAAACAACCTATTGGCGTTCTGTAAAACTATTGATATAATATGTACTTAAAACTTAATCACTAATAATATAAATAGTATTAAATTTATCTGTATAACATTTTATATTTACTGATCGAAGACATTCTTCAGTCGTTATACAAAATCAAAGTATTTTCGAATGTATCGTGCAGGCATGCATTATTCAGGCAAAAAAGTCGTGATTGTTAATACACTGTACGTAAGTATAATATCTAGGACAAGGCTGGTGTTCTTAAATAAATATTTACAAGAAAAAATAAAAAAGATAAGAACTGACGTAAACTGTTTACATGTTATCTACTATTCATTTTCAGCCTTATCAGTAGAACATTCTGGTAAAATAACAACATCAAGTTAATGTGTTTTCAATGCGTTCACTTTGTTTGGGATTTGGTTCAAGACGCTTATTTAAACCGAAAGAGGCTAATGGCCTTACTTTTAAACTATCTCCAGTTAATGAAATCGAATAAGATTAACCCAATTTATGATCTTTTTCTAAATATATATAAAAGAGAAATTTGTATGTACTTCTTACAAGTTGTATTTGTAGTGCATTACATATTCATTAAAACCCGAACTTTACACGGAAGGCCAAGGTGATAATAAAAACTCAAGTCGAAGAAAAACGTACAACGCCATGACATAAAAATCAACGCCAAGGCAAAAAACGAACAACGCCATGACATAATAATCAACGCCAAGGCAAAAAACGGAGAACGCCATGACAAAAAAATAAACTAAAGATTGAGCAACACGAAACCCACCATAAACCAAGGTTAATCTGAGGTGTTTTGGAAGGGTTAGCAGTTTCTTTTTCACACAGAACCATGAAAGGTATCGAAAGTCGTTACAATGAGACAAAAGACCAAATCTAAATATCTATAGAAATTAGTACAGGAGACGTGGTGCAAGAGTAAACAGATAGCAACCCATCATTATAAAACGTATTATGAATACGCATGTTTTATCTTATTTATTTCTACAATGACTCCTAAGAAAACTTGAATTGAACAAAAAATGGTAAAATGCAAAATACATTTAAAAGAATGAGGTGCATGCAAGTTATATGGTACCGATTTAAAACGTTTTCTTTTTTAACATTACAAAAAACATAGCTGCTTCAATCTAATATTTTAAATCAAAATCCTTTGTCTTTGGCAGTATATTTTCCCCCTAACCATAATTAAATGATAAAAAGAACTAGAACGAACATATTAAATCACTTACCAGTGCAAAAAATCCATTCTGTATAATGAAGAATAGAGTAGAAATAATATAACGACTTTCCATCGTTAAAGCTTTAATCGTTTGATGATTTTCAGAGGAGCGAGGTCCTCAAGTTGTTTAATTATGCATGCAGTGTTAAAGGGTAAAATTGGCCAATTGCTGTGCTGTGTTATCATTCGGAAAATATTACCACTGTTAAATCGAAATGGCGTAATTTTAAGCAAGATATGATATATATATATATATATATATAAACAGATAAACTATAATGAAGTTAGTGTCTGTTTGAATATATATATCAACAAATATTCTTATACGTGCTTGATATAAATGGCAATTCAATGATACAAACCAATTTATTGAAGTATGATATTTACACGATGTTCAACCAGCAAATACAGTGAAAAAAGTATGTGAAAAGTGTGAACCCAGACAATCTAAGTATTGTCACACTTAAACAAGATCTGAATTTTTTTAAGGGTGCTTATTCAAGAAACATGTTTATATTATCTAAACAGAAAAGATAACAACCATAAAAAAAACTTCATTTTTTGTGTCAAACTGGGCCTTAAAGTAGTATCGGATTAAAAACAAAAAATGGGATAGTTATTTATACTTTGCCGGTGACCGACCCTCTGTATTCAAGCCTACGAGTTTAACAAAATTTCCATCATTTGTAAGGACCGACAATTGTACACATGAAAAAACACTATTTATCTACGTGATTAGAAAGATGGCTAAATGATCGAATTTTGAAATTATTATAATGAATAATATGATTGCTCATACAAAATTAATGCTTCTGAAAATAATAGGGTCACAGTGATCGTTTCTTGCTACATTACAAATAGATACATTTACAGTATATTCTACCATAAGAATAAACTAGCTTGGGTACCTCACTTTTAAATCTTTGTGTTTTAATGAATCTAATAATGGTTATTGTCATGGATTACATCAATTGCCAGAGGATATGCATTTTCATTAAAATAAATCCCAACATTTCTGTAAAGATCTAAACATTTCAGTTGCAATCGAAGATGGCAAGAGACTCCAGTACTGCCGTAAATACCAAATTTTCTTTGAAGCAACCTACTGTTAAAAACGCAACACACATTTTGGTGGTTTTTTTTTTACCAAATCATGATTGATCCTCATATAACTACTGTTCATACTTACCATACTTCTTTCTGTTTAGAAAAATGCCATACCTGACTTACCTGAGGTAATTGAACGTAATCGAATTATTGAAGTCGCACGAATTTCTAAAAGCGATATTTGAAACCCGTGAATGATTTTTTTTAAGGTTTTGTCTTCGTGAAGCAATACTTTCAATCCATACCCAAACTCAAATCAGTAAAAACATGTTGCATTTCCATATTGCCGAGACTGAGCAATGAAAATCTGAATCTTGCCATAGGAATATCGAAATCAAGAATACGCGAACTCCCTGTTGATAAACAATTTCACGTTAGAAATTCCTCTTACTGTCGTTACATCAACGGTACAGGCAGATGGGATGTGTTGATGATCACCCATGACCAGATGAATATGTAATGACAGCGTCACGTCAATAAAAAATGACTATGCAACGTCATTTGCGAGACATGCTTACGACCGCAACGTCAATTGCTTATCAATTTGTCGAATGCCATGGCAGACAGATTCATGCCATAAATGTTTCCCATATACTAAAATCAACTGCTGAAAAACATTTAAAGCCCCAAAGTTTAAACCGCAAACTTGCCAAAACACTGTATGGGACAGAGACCAAATCAGAATGTACAACACAGAGCTCAAAACATGGCCAACAGTTCTGGTTGACTTTTTGGTCAATCATTTAGGCTTTGGTTACAGTCAGTCATTGCATTCGACGGTGACGCATTCATTGACAAGGGTAAACCACAGTTTCAGTGCTCACCACATGATTTGAACATCAAACAAGACGTAATGAATTCATCTTATTTCAGACAATGAAGTAATGAATGAAATTTATGTTTATACATTTATTTAACAAGAATTGCATATTTGAGAATGAGAATCAAAATGAATAATCTAGCGTTGCGTTTTAAAAGTCCGTCAGTATAGAATCGCAAATAACGAGTAATTAATAAAAAAAAATCGGACTATACAGTGGCAACACAGACCTCAAACATGGTTGTCAACTTACTCAGAGAGCAATAGCACTTAAAAATCAATGTCAACCAGTATTTACACCATCATCAAATATAACAGACCATGAATTTATTAATATTGCCTTCAAAACGAAAAAGTTAAATAACTAGGATGAGGAAACTGAAATAACTAGAAGAGCGAATTAGCCTGCAGCTGATCATGTTGTACAAGGTAGTTGTGAGGTTGGTGTCGGCTCTACCACCAAATATTTTCATCCAACAAAAACACCAAACTACAAGACCAAAAAGGTTGATCATACCAATGACTTTTCAAGACTGTGTTTCGTCAAATATCCTTGACAGATGTGTCACAGTATGCAATATCACCGAAACCTTAACAATTCAGGACAGTAAAACACCACAATATCACCGAAACCTTAACAATTCAGGAGAGTAAAACACCACAATATCACCAAAACCTTAACAATTCAGGATAGTAAAACACCACAATATCACCAAAACCTTAACAATTCAGGATAGTAAAACACCACAATATCACCAAAGCCTTAACAATTCAGGACAGTAAAACACCACAATATCACCAAAGCCTTAACAATTCAGGATAGTAAAACACCACAATATCACCAAAGCCTTAACAATTCAGGATAGTAAAACACCACAATATCACCAAAGCCTTAAAAATTCAGGACAGTAAAACACCACAATATCACCAAAGCCTTAACAATTCAGGATAGTAAAACACCACAATATCAATACTCTTTTATGCTGCTATACAGTGGAATTACCTCCCTGATAACGTCGTGCATCAAGACTCCATAGAAGCCTTCAAAACCTTGGAATCATCGCCAATAAAGACCGCTACGGCCTTGTCTCATTTCTTTGTATATTGAAAAGTAAACCAATTTTTGGTTCAACTACTTATACAGATACAGAATACCAAAGTTAACTATACAGGAGATGGCATCACTAAATAACTGCAAAACTTAAATCAAACAAAAGCTGCAGGACCACTGGGAAGAAATCAAGCCAAGACCCTAAAAGGAAATATCTACTGAAATATATATATATATGTGCTGATATTTAGATTAATTATGTATATACATATATATACATAATTACTCTAAATATCAGCACAACAATGTTAAATCTGCAAATTTGCGGAAGCAAATTTTTTATCTTCCCTCGCCGGGATTCGAACTCATGCTATTGGGATATCGAGGCAACACCACCTGCACTGTGTCCAGCGCTCTAGACCACTCGGCAACCTTATGTTCGAATCCCGGCGAGGGAAGAACAAAAAATTTGCATAAGCAAATTTACAGATCTAACATTGTTGGGCTGATGTTTAGACGAGTTGTATATACAGAATGTACACAGCCATGTATCACCATCACTGCTGTTGATCCGGTGGATAAATCTGTTGTAGAGTTGTCACTGGTTCAGACGTACTTATAAATATAATTATTTCTGTGACTGTATCTTGCATTAATTTGTAGGATCCTGTACCATAGATATTTCAGCTGATCTGTAACAATTCCATCTTCATGCCTTATATATCATGTACTGTATTACGACGCTAGATTAAAACTGACGAGAAAAGGAAACACCCGGCCACCGAAAGCTTTGTTTTTGTGAAGCCTAGGTGGTCGAGTGGTCTAGCGCGTCGGATACAGTGCAGGCGAATTGGTGTCACGATATCTCAGTAGCATGAGTTCGAATCCCGGCGAGGGAAGAACAAAAAATTTGCGAAAGCAAATTTACAGATCTAACATTGTTGGGCTGATGTTTAGACGAGTTATATATATATATATACTTTACAATAGATGTTTCAGCTGATCTCTAACAATTCCATCTTCATGCCTTTTATATCATGTACTGTATTACGACGCTAGATTAAAACTGACGAGGAAAGGTAACACCCGGCCACCGAAAGCTTTATTATGTGAATCCTAGGAGGTCGTGTGGTCTAGCGCGTCGGATACAGTGCAGGCGGTTTGGTGTCACGATATCTCAGTAGCATGAGTTCGAATCCCGGCGAGGGAAGAACAAAAAATTTGCGAAAGCAAATTTACAGATCTAACATCGTTGGGCTGATGTTTAGAAGAGTTGTATATACAGAATGTACACAGCCATGTATCACCATCACTGCTGGTGATCCGATGGATTAATCTGTTTTAGAGTTGTCATGGTTCAGACGTATATATATATATATATATATATATATATATATATATTGACTATCATATTCTGTAAATCTCTTAACAAAGGAACTGTGTCATGTAAGTGACTGTAAAACTGCCCATTTCTCAACTATATACAAAAAGGTAAAAATACCCCGAAAACTATCCGACAGTCCTATTTGCTTTACTTTATTTGCTGGAACTCCTCAACAGAAAGTTATTAAACAAAAATGAAACATGCAGTTAAAGAAAATATCCTCCATCCTCTCAATATGGTTTTCGCAAAGGTCGCAGCTGTAATACATATTTGCTAGAATTTATTGACGCTGTTATTACTGTAAATTTGGAATCTGGTAAACAAACAGATGTGCGTACTAGTAATCATGTTTAACGTTAGTTATTACTCTTTCACTTGGCATTTCTGTGAGGAACAAAATACAAGAAAAATAGAAAAATTCAAGAACGTGTGCTTTGCTTTATTTATGATGATTATCAAAACTCTTATGGAACACTCCTGCAGATTTTAAACCTTCATTTTCTAAAAACTCGTAGAATACACATAATTTTCCTTTGCTTATTTAAAATCTGCTTTTTATACAAAATTAAAAAAAAACCTCAATTCAAACAATTTCAGGTATACTTTTTGATTTATAGGCCGGGGGGGGGGGGGGGGGTGCAAAACTTGCATTGAGGTTCATGCCCTATCTATCGAGTGTTGTCTGGCCTTTTGCTCTGCTTTTTGTTTGACCTTATTCACAAAGCATCCGTAAAGTTACTGCACCCGTAAACGTTGCGGAATGGTTGCGGAATTAAAACTTTCGTATTCACAAATACAGC